TAATTATTTTTTAACCCTTACAGTATGTGCAAGTGTCTAACTTCAACTTTTTTTTTTTATGTTATTTAGGTGCTCCCAGAAGTCCTTACGGTCTTATCACGGAACACCGCGGGAGTTTCTTTCATAACTTTCTTTTCTAATTTTTTATGCTTAAGGTTTTTTAAAGTTTTAGTTACTTAACTTAGTTATTAATTGCTGCAATTAATAACTAAGTAGTCTTCTATATCATGTAAACTTCAAATTTGCAGACAAATAATTTTTTTCACGTCGCAATGCTTTGTGAAGTAAGAATTAAATTAGCCTAAAATCTTGAAATTTCAAAACAAATTTTAAGTCTAAGTTATAGCTAGTCGCAGCTGATTTTATTGAATAGTATTAAACAACCGTTATACTTCCTAAATATCATTAATTCCAATTTCAAGAGAGTGGCATTTGTTTGGAATCGAATACTTAAATATTTGATTTTTACGTATTTATAGTGAAATGATTTTCATTTTTTTTTCATTTTTAGAAAACATTAAAATAATAAAAAAAAGTTTATTTTAAACAAAAATAGTTTGATGTGTTTAATAAAATAAAAAAGTTAAAAAAAAAACTATATTCCTTAAACAAATATCTTAACTTTAAATTGGTCTTTTTATGAAAGCATCGATTTTGAACTAAAAAATATATCATAAAGAATACATGGTCGCAGCTGGTTTTATTTTTGAACAATAACTGCCGTTTAGTAAATCAGAAAATCAAACAATCTTCGAGTGGCATTTAGAAAAAGGAAGATGAGGAAATTTAGAAAAACCCCTATAAAATACCAACAATTCTAAGAAATATTATGAATATATTAAATACAAATATATAACTAAAACATTTACTTTTTATTAACACTAAGTTAATATGTTTACTTAAAATAAAAAAAGTCCAAAGCTTTTTTAATTAAAAAAAGTTATGTAAATTTTGAGGATAAGTATTTTTGAAAAAAAAATTTTCCGAAAATTCGACAATTTTAAAGCCATTATGAATGGTTCTAGCAAGCTTGCCTTCATCTCTAGTAATTAAACAGCTACATTTTTGAGTAGAGTAAAGCACTTATGTTTTAATAATAAAATAAAAAAAAAGTTTAGAAGATTTGACTTTTTTGGAACTTTTGGCCACGGAAAAAAAATTCTGGCCCACTGTGACTTGCTGTGATTACGAAATTTTCGGATACGGATGTAACGAAAACAGTTTATTTTATTTTTACGCGCCAATTTTCTCCGAATAACCAATAACTATCTTTTAAACAATAACTATCTTTTTTACCAATAAAATAACTTGCTATCAAACTGGTTGATAGACTCCATCCATGATGCTTCTTATGATCGAAAAATTCACACATGATTTCATAATATGTATATCTAAAATTCCAGTTTACAACATATACCTTCTGATGACTGATTTCGTAAATATATACGTATTTCAATAAAAAAAAACAGTGATTTTTATGTCTATTTTGCTTAAAACTGCTATTTAACTGTAATTTAGACATATAGTTGTAAACTGGAGTTTGAGATCCAATTGAAATTTATCTTTATAAGTAATAATATTAATAGTTAGGGAAACCGTCATTTAGCCTACCCAGCTGATTATTTCTAGTTTTAGTATTAGTTTTGAACCAAACTTCGTATTTCTCAAAATAAAGCTATGGGAATTTTTAAGGCAAAAAAAATCGCCGTGTTAACATATTGTTTAAAAGCCAACAACTAAAAACTCTATAAAGTTTTTAAATAAATAAAATCTTTTCATTATATGATCTATAAACTCATGCGAAATCTTTACATGGCAAATTAAAGTTAATCGCAGAAAAATATCAAAACAAAATTCTAAGTGAGACAGAATTTCCGACAAACACGAGAAATTTAAATACTTAATATTGTAATATATTATATATACTAAAAATAGTGAAAACTAAGTGTAGGGAATGGAGACCACAAGTAATCTATAATTCGATCTATATATGATATGCAGTTTTACTTACAACATCTAGAAAATTCGTTTCACTTTGCAGTATTCATTCTTGCAAATTAAATATCACCTTTTTACAAAAGTATGATTTTTGACGTCTTTATTAATAATAAGTTCTTATTAAAAAGCGCTCACGTATCAAATTTGACATTTTAAAACAGATGAGCTATTTCTGATGTATGTATGTATGTACTAGGTTGGTTGAAAAGTTCGCGGAGCGGCACCTATGTTGCAGTAGTAGAAACAAATTTATAACTGTATTAAACGTATTCATTCTTCGTATGAACGCATAAAAAATTTCAAGTCGATATGTCATTTCAGTCTTTGTTTACAAGCTATTGAAATTAGACGTGTCATAGTATTTTTTAAAAGGAAAATATTGAACATCGTGCTGTAATAAAATTCTTTGTGAAAAAAGGTTTAAAGCCCATGGAAATTCATAATGAAATGGTAAATGTGTTGGGTGATGATGCTCCTTCAAAAACAACAGTATGCAAATGGGCTGCGGAGTTTCAACGTGGGCGTTCAAGCCTTGAAGATGACCCTCGCTCTGGACGTCCAAAAAGTGCTACTACTGAAGAAACGATTAATGCTGTGCATGACATGGTTATGGATGATAGACGATTGACCAAACGTGAAATTGCTGAGGCTGTGGGCATCTCAGATGAACGGGTATTACACATCTTGCACGATGAATTACGTCTGAGAAAGCTGTTGGCAAGATGGGTGCCGCATTCGCTAACTCTGGATCAGAAACGCACTCGAGTAAAACTTTCTCAAGAACATTTGGCCCGTTTTCAAAAGAATAAAACAGATTTTGTGCGTCGATTCGTAACCATGGATGAGACTTGGGTTTACCACTATGATCTGAAGCTGCGACAACAAACTGCAGAGTGGACAGAACCCGGTTGTTCAGCTCCGAAGCAAGTGAAGGCGTCAAAATCGTCAAAGAAGGTTATGGCATCAGTTTTTTGGGATGCGAAAGGAATTTTATTAATAGATTACCTTCAAACCGGTAAAACGATAACAGGTGAATATTATAAAAATCTTTTGGACCAGTTGGATAAAAAAATTCGTGAGAAAAGACCTGGTTTGCTGCATAAAAAAATCATTTATCACCAGGACAACGCACCTGCTCATATCAGCGATGTTGCAAAGGCGAAATTGGTCGAATTAAAGTACGAACGCTTGGAACATCCACCCTATTCACCAGATCTGGCTCCGTCCGACTTCCACCTCTTTCCACATCTCAAAAAATTTCTACGTGGAAAGCGTTTCTCATCACATGAAGAAGTCATTGCAGCCGTAAATGGGTATTTTGAAGGCCTTCCGGATTCGCACTTCAGAGATGGGATACATGAATTGGAGAATCGTTGGAAAATGTGTATTGCTCTTAAGGGAGAATATACTGAAGAATAAAGTCATTTTTTGAATCATAAAATTGTTTTTTCATTTCCGCTCCGCGAACTTTTCAAACAACCTAGTATGTACGTACGTATGTATGTATGTATGTATGTATGTATGTATGTATGTATGTATGTATGTATGTATGTATGTATGTATGTATGTATGTATGTATGTATGTATGTATGTATGTATGTATGTATGTATGTATGTATGTATGTATGTATGTATGTAACCTTAGGATGTGACACTCTATTTTCAATTACTTTCTGTTTTGAAGATAATTTACATAAATTTGCTGAACATTTATACAACTTTGCAGAACATTTACACAACTTGGTTCAAGTCTTTACTTTATTTTTTACATATCAGAATATTATTTTAAATTTTGCGACAAAAAATCTGTTTGGCTTATCAACTGCTCAACTAAATGAAAAAATAAAAGTGAAATAAAACCTAAATAAATAAATAGCTTTACTAAAGGGTGTAATTTGGGAGTCATTTTTATATCTAACTTCAAGTGGAGCTTTCTTTCTTTTACATCTAACCTCAAGTGGAGCTTCTTTCTTTTACATCTAACCTTAGGTGGATTTAACCAGTTATCTCTAAACCTCTACAAACTCTCGATAAGCTAAAAACTGAAATTCACTTTCATTGATGAAAATATGGCTCTCAAATGTATAAAGTATTTATATGAAAATATGGCTCTCAATTGTATAAACCGCACTTTGAATATACAATCTGTATGGGCTGTTTTTAATAAGAATTTAAAAACTGATTCTGCCTTGATTGAATCTGATTAACGAATAGCAAAAAAACGGGCTTCCAGTTTAAGACACCTTAATATTGCAAAAGACTAAAATAATTGAATCTACCTTTACTTCAGTTTCGGCGAATACGTTAACATCTAATCCAAATCTTTAAACTAATATCTATTAAACGTACATCTATTAAAACTTATTAACTTCTTGACACGTAATCACCATCTTATAATAAATCGTGAGTATGTTCTAAAGTGCTGTCCAAGACACAATCAGTTATATAATTGATTATCAAAATTCTGAAACGAACTACCAGGGCAGGTAACTTTCTACTCCACTGTACTTTGTTTTAAATGAATGATTAAAGCCAACCTAAAGTGCTAACAAAAATTATTCTTAAAATTAATTTTAAGAATAATTTTTGCTTTTTAAAATAATTCTTTAATTGTATCATTTCCATTCTTAACTTGTGTCATTTGTGTTTTATTTTTTTTATTTTTAGTTAATATGTATATTGAGGTGTAAAATGTAATATTTTTCATGAGCGTATTTTGCCATCTAAAAGAGTAATTTAAATGTAAGCATTGTATATATTACTATTATAAACAATCTCATTTATATATTGCACATTTATATATTGCACATTTATATAAAATAATGAAATATTTAAAGTATTACAGTAAAATCAAACATCTTTTTTTATCAATAAACCATCGAGGAGCAGAATGCTCAAAAACGCAGGAAAAGAATTTTAAAACCACATCACGTTTAATTCCATTTATATGATATTTAAGCTGATTTTCAATCGCTAAAATGCAACTTTTGTTTATCATATAGAAGATGAAAAAAATATTCAAACTATACAAGATTTACGAAATAAAAAGATAAGAGAACATATATCGTACATGATTGACAACTCTTCATTTCACGGACTATCTTATATTTTTGATAAAAGACATTCTGTTCGTCGCACAATATGGTTTTTTATAACAATAGCTGCATTTGCCTATGCGATGCAAAAAGTTTATGAAAGTACAATGAACTACTTTTCGTACCCATTTTACACTGTTCGCATGAGAATGTATGTTAATCAGATAGATTTTCCAGCGATATCTTTTTGTAATTTAAACGATATAAAATTTAGTGCTATGAATGGTACAATTGTTGATGATGCAGTCGTAACGCAAAATCATGAAGCAAATATAACAGGTGAAGAATATAGAAGCTATAATCAAGCAGCCAGACACACATTAAATGAAATGTTAGTTGATTGTGACTTTGAAGGAAAAAAATGCTCCCACAAAAATTTTACAGAATTTAGTTGGATGCAGGGAGAAAGTTGCTTTACATTTAATTCTGGCAAACCTCCTCATACTCTGTTGAAAGTGAAAGGAGCAGGTATAAACAGAAGTTTAAAACTTACCATCAACGTCCAACACTACGATTACTATAGAGACAAAATGGACTCTGGAATTCGTTTAATTCTACACGGACAAGACGAAACACCAGTTAAAATGAGTGGTTTAACAGTTCCACCTGGGTTTACTACATACATTCAAATAGAAAAAAAGACGGTAACAAAATTTTATGCTTTTCATAAAGTTTTAAAATTTCTGAAATTTAGTAGCATAATAATACATTCTACCTTTTTTTTTTTTTTCTTAAAACATCAAATTTCAATCAAATCATTTAAAACTAAAAAAAAAATTTAAGTGTATAAAAAATAATAATAATAATTAAAAGTTATAAATTTTTAGATTATAAACTTAGAAGCGCCATACAAAACAAAATGTGGTTCAGTAAAGTTAAAATATTTTGATAGTTACTCGATGCATACCTGCTGGCTTGAACAACTTACAGATTATGTTTACAAAACATGTAATTGTAAAGACTATTTTATGCCAGGTTTTTTGTTATTTATTTCTAACTGATTTGTTTTGTTAGGTTGGTTTTTTGTTATTTATTTGTAAATAGTGCAAAAGACTATATTAATTGAATCTACCTTTACTTCAGTTTCGGCGGTTATGTTAAAATCTAATCCAAATCTTTAAACTAATATCTATTAAACGTAGATCTATTGAAACTTATTAACTTCTTGACACGTAATCACCATCTTAAAATAAACGATTTTTTTTGTTAGGTTGGTCTTTTGTTATTTATTTCTAAATGATTTATTTTGTTAGCTTGGTCTTTTGTTATTTATTTCTATCTGATTTATTTTGTTAGCTTGGTCTTTTGTTATTTATTTGTCTCTAATTTATTTTACTATTTTCTAAGTTTTAATATGTAAACCTTTTTTTTTTTTTTTTTTACTAACTCTATTTTTTGAGATTGTATACTAAATATTTTATAATTAATTTCCATACACTTTTTATCACAACTATTGAGCAAATTAGTTTTAGTTAAAAAAATATATAAAATTTATAATTTTTTCTGAGTTCATTTTTCGTAACCATGTGTTATTATATCAAAACAATAGTATATAGTTACAGTAAAATTATAAAAAACGCATTATAAATATTTTCTCTTTAAAGTTTTTGTCGTCAATACAATTTAATGTTAATGTAATTTTTGTCACCTATTCACATTTGTCATTTACAAACTGTAGTCATTTACACTAGAATGACACATTTGTCAAATTAGTAGGTTCATCAGATAGATGAATCTACTTCCTGATGAACCTAATGAAACAATATGTTAGTTGTCCCCAAAACCAAGAACTCAGCCCTCGGTATACTATAAAGACTCTAAAGCAATGTGGTGGCAAGGTAATTATTTGGAGCGGTTTTTCATGGTGTGGCGTAGACCCGTTGCATAGAATTCAATGGACAATGAATTAACACATGTTCAAATAAATACCAGAAAACATCATGTTACCTTATGCTGGGAAAAATCTTCCTTTTTGTTTTGAAATTTCTAACAAAATGTAGATTATCCCTAATAAGATTGATGTTTTGCAGAGGCCCGCACAGTCACCAGACCTAAATCCATTAGTAAACTTGTGATAGGAAGTTGATAGAAACATAAATTGATCAACTGCTTTGGACGCCATTACGCCTAAACAATGCCAAAAATTGATCTCGTCAATGAGCTGTTGTTGTCAAGCAGTTATTGACTCAAAAAAATATCCCACTAAATATTAACTTATCTCAAATAATTTTTTTTAAGTACTTATACAAAGATTTTCTATGATTTTTATAGAAAACGAACAAAAAGATAATTCTTTAACAGGGTATTCTGCAACTCTAATTCATTTATATGATCGAATTTTTTTTTTTTAAATAAGTAAATTTAATATTTTACAAAGTAATGTTATCTTCTAAAACTAATATTTTATTAGGAATAAGTTTAGATCTCAAAAACTCAGATCTCTGTAAAAAATATCATTACATATTAAACATCAATCAGTGATATTTACTTTGAGCCATTTATATATATATATATATATATATATATATATATATATATATATATATATATATATATATATATATATATATATATATATATATATATATATATATTGCTCTATAAGAAAACAAAAAGAGAGAGTAGCAATTGACAGAAGACTTAAAAAGCTATAAACTGTTTCAAGAAAATATTTAAACTGGAGAAAACTCCAAAGCACCGATATTTGCAGAAAAAAACTATATGAATTAATATTTTGAGCATTAAGAAACAGTTACAGTAAATGGATGCAACTTTGAGTTTATATCAATGAAAGATAACATTATAACTTGTTTATGAAGCAGCCATGATAGTATTTGTTAAAAAAAAAAAGAAAGTTTATAACTATTAGACTGAGATTCAAGCTATACAGCTGGAACAAGTCTAACAACATTTTTAATTCAGTTATTGACTTTGTCACAATGAGGATATAATTGTGTAATCAGGATAAAAAAATTAATGATAAGATTACTAGAAAGATTATTAATATAGATCTGGAACATCATACAACCAAAAATGAAACCTTGTGATTCCATTCTGATTCCAGAAAAAATCTAGAAATAAAAAAGAGTGATGTCCATCAATGACAGCTTATAAACTACACTTAGAAAGGAGTGATTTATTAGTTTTATAAACTTTCAAAGAAACACTATATGAAGGAAGCTTATGAATAAATGCAGTAAGTCAGACATATCGAAAGCTTTGATATAGAATGAGAAATATCTATTGTCTCATCGCCTCCATTAAATACATAAAAAAACATAGCTTAACGCATAATAAAAATAATTTATTGGATAATAAAACATAATCTATTGCATAATAAAGCATAATTTATTGCATAGTAAAACATAATAAAATGCATGATAAAACATAATTTGTTGCATAATAAAACATAATTTGTTGCATAATAAAACATAATTTAATGCATATTAAAACATAATTTAATGCATAATAAACATAATTTTTTGCATAATAAAACATAACTTAATGCATAATAAAACATAATTTATTGCATAATAAAACATAATTTAATGCATAATAAAACATAATTTATTGCATAATAAAACATAATTTATTGCATAATAAAATATAAATTAATGCATAATAAAACATAATTTATTGCATAATAAAACATAATTTAATGAATAATAAAACATAATTTAATGCATAATAAAAATTTGTTTTAACGATTAACGAGACAGGAGTACGTTTAACTTCCATTTAAGTTAAACGTACTCTCTAACATAATAATTTTACCAAGTTTGTATTTAAAGAAGTTCAGGGAACATAGATTTGGAAAACTCTTTGGTCAAAAAAGTTGTACAACTTTACACGATGTAAATTATCAAAAATCTTTTTTAAATGTGTTATAATAAATGCTCTAGTTCATTTTTATTTTGATAACCCTCATAACCCATGGACACGTTAACCCTAATAATCCATGGACACGTTGACCCTAATATCCCATGGACACCCTCTCTTAAATTGGACATTAAATATGAATATAAATTGTGCCAGAATAATCATTATTTCTTATTTTAAGGCTAGCAATACACTTTTATAAATTTTTTAAGATAAATAAAATAAAAAGATTATTATTCACATTAGTTCACATAATTAGTTCACATAATTAATTCACATAATTAATTCACAAAAGTAAAATATCTTGAGTTTTAATATAATCTTCATTTTAAATTATTTATTTTTAATAATGAAAGAAATGTATTAAATATATGATGTAAATAAATTGGTAACATATAGTATTACCTCTATGGGTATAAAGTTTATAATGAAATAAAATGAAAAAAAAAAAATTCTTTATTATATCAATATTTCATTTAAAAAACTTGCTTTGAAATATTAAGCTATATTTCAAATCATGTTTTTTTGGTTCAAGTTTTTATAAGTATTTAAAATTTATATCCTTTGAATAACGTTTATCAATGCGTTTTAATCAAGAAAATAATGTGCTCTTTGGTTATTTCTTTCTTTATATTCCTTTAGTTTTTTTAGCTTTGATAAATTGTGTGATTTTAATTGGTTCAAACATTTTTTGAAAATCATAAAATTTTAATAATTTTTTTTTTTTTTTTTGTTGTTTCATTTTTATCATTTTTATTTATTATTAGTTTTATAAATTTCTTTGCAACTTTTTTTAAGGAGATATCCCCATATGTTCGTTTGATTTGCTGTATAACTGTGCTTGGCCTGAATGGGGTAAGCTTACTTTTTAAGGTATTTTGGAGAGATTATATTTTTGGTGTGTTTAAATATGCTTTGCTAATCAATTTATTTTTGTTCATTATTTGAAATATCAATTTTTGTTCATAATTTGAAATACTAATTTTTTTTTCATAATGTGAAAAAGCAATTTTTAATTTTATTGCTTTTTTATTAGTAAAAAATGTAAAAATTAATTCATCATTAATAATGAATCAATTTTTATATTTTTTACAACTGTAAATTCGTTGTTTTATTAAAAATATAATTAATATATGAATAGTTTATTTAATAAATGATGGTATTATAAAAAAACAAAAAACAATAATAATAATATCAAAAAGAACAACAACAACAATATCATCTTCAACAACAACAACATCAGTAACACCAACAACAGCAGCAACAATAACAACAGCAAAAGCAAAAACAACAACAACAACAATAACAACAACAACAACAACAACAACAACAGCAGCAACAACAACAGCAAAAGCAAAAACAACAACAACAACAACAATAAGAACAACAATAACAACAATAACAACAACAACAACAACAACAGCAACAACAACAACAACAACAACAACAACAACAACAACAACAATAACAACAATAACAACAACAACACCAACAACAGCAACAACAACAACAACAACAACAACAACAATAACAACAATAGCAGCAACAACAAACAACAACAACAACAACAACAAAACAATAATAGGAATAATAATTATTAAATTATTTTAAATAATATTAGAGTAATAATAATTATTTATTTAATAATAATAATAATTATTATAATAATTATAATAATTAATTATTTTAAATAATATTAGAGTAATAATAACAAGAAATTAAAATTTCCTTTAGAAACATTTGACAAACAAAAACTGTATCAATGCCCACTACCCTGTAAAATTGACTCGTACGAGGTAAGTCTCTCCCGAGCCTTATTTCCAACAGGTCTTTACGCTAGTAGTTTAGCAAATGATCTTAGAAAATATCAACAAGTTCCCATCGCTCTAAAAAGTAAAACAGACGAGCTAATTTTTATGAGGTAAGACCTTTTATCTCTAAATACAGACTTACTTAAAAATCTATTTTAAAACAGCTACAACTTAATAAAAATTAAATTTAAAAAGTTTTAATTGTATATTTATCAATATTTTTTTAACTATATCATAATTAAACTTAATTTATTTATCTTTATCAATAAATTTTTTTATTAAACTTAATAAAACTTATCTGTTATTTCATTGCTATTGATATAAATGCAAAATTTAGATAAAAGTTATATTTCACCTGGACTTGTAGACTTTTTGTAAAACTCTCCAAACTTGTTCCACCTGTTATTAAACCGACTAAAATTGTTCCACCTGTTATTAAACCGACTAAAATTGTTCTTTTATTAAATCGACTAAACTTAACTAAAATTAAACGTTTATAATTGTTATAAAGTAAGCATGATGAATTTTTTACTTCTTCTTGATTACACTTGTTCGTTGTTATAGAATTTTATTTAAGCAATAATAAAAAATAGAATTTCACAAATTTACAATGACAAGAAATATAACAAATATAAACAAGGTGAAAAAAAAATCACAAAAAAACGTTAGAACCTTAAAAAAATTATATTTCCTAAATGCTGAAAGGTTTCATAGTAAAAAGACCTTTAGAGACGGATAGGAATAAGTTATTTTGTAAATTTCTAATATTTTTTAAATATGCATATAACATAAAACATTAAATACATTTAGCTTGTATATATTTAGAATTCTTATTTTAATAAAATAATGTTACGAGTGAGATAAGCGATCCACAAATTTTATTATACGTATTGCACGTTTCTGACGGTAATAGAGCCATTGCAATTTACTTTATTCTGTACTTCAACAGACAATATTAGCATAACTTGAATAACTGTATACCAGTGGTGAAATAAGAATTTTTGAGGCCCGGGGCTATTTTTTTTGAGGCCTTTTTTGTGTGCAACAGCGTTAAAAAAAATGTCCTTAAAACTATTTTGGAATCCCTAAAATTAGTTGGAACAAATTGTTTACAATATTATAACTATCATTAGTTAGAAAAAAATTGTTTACAATATTATAAGTGACCTTTAAACCCTTTTAAAACTTTGATGTTTATTCCATAGTATTCAAATTTAAAAATTAGTGATCAACCGTATCAAAAGCTTTTGATAAGCCAATAAAAATCCTAAGGTAAATTGCAAATTTTCAGATGATTTTGAGATTTTATGTAATAATTGGAAACTTGCATTTTCAGTTGAGTTATTTTTTGTAAAACCAAATTGATTTTTATAAAGTAATTTATTTTCATAAAGGTATTTTATACTCTGTTGAATATAATTCTATCTAAAAAATGATGACAGAAAAAAAAAAAAAAAAAAGTGTTGACAGAACAGAAATTGAGGCAATAGTTATTGATAACAGATTTGTTCCCTTCTTTTAATAAGAGTAATTTTGGCAACTTTTAATTGTTTAGGGTATACTTCTTGATGAATGTTCTAAAAATTTTTAAAAAACTTTTAACTGTTTGAAATAATCTATGATTACATCTCCTTTTTTTGTGATCTTCTCCAACTGGTTTATTTTTTTTAATGCTAAAATGCAAAATGGGATTAGTTCCTACATGATTTACAAAAAACTTTGTTCAATCCAATACCAACAATTTAACACAAAAGCAACTGGTAACTATATCGCATTCTCCCTTATCCCTTCAAAATTATATATATATATATATATATATATATATATATATATATATATATATATATATATATATATATATATATATATATTATATATATATATATATATATATACATATTTATATATATATTCATATATATATATAAATATATATATATATATATATATATATATATATATATATATATATATATATATATATATATATATATATATATATATATATATATATATATATATATAAATATGTATGTATAAATATATATATATATATAAATATATATATATATATATATATATATATATATATATATATATATATATATATATATATATATATATATATATATATACATATATATATATATACATATTATTATAAAAAATTTGGTATTTAGTTTAATGATAAACTGAAAAAGTTAAAAAAACTCAATAAACGTTTTTGTTTTTGTTTTGAATGTGTGACCATAATATAAAGGTCTTATTAAAAGAGTATTTTTTAAAAATATGAAATAAAGAATAATATATTTAACATTTAAGTTTATGTATCTTTAGAGAAAACTTACTTCGTCTTGTTATCTATTATGATGATTTAGCGTATGAGTTGGTTGAGCAGAAACCGAGCTATAATACATTGCTATGGCTGGGTAAGTAATTAAATATATTTTAATTCAAAATACTGACGGAAATCACAAAGCAAGAGTCTAAAAATACTTCAGATTAGATTCCAACAAACAAGTTTGTTCCTTAAGAATATTTTATAAATCATTTTACAACATTTTCAACTTTTGAAGTTGATTTTTTCCCATTAAAAAAGTTTGGTAAACCCCTAATTCTATTGTCCTAATCCTTGACGTAGAATTACGCTGAAAAATTGTAAGGATATAATTAAATTTAAAATTTGCACTTTTTAAAATACTTTAGGTGATGTTGGTGGTCAAATTGGATTATTTATAGGAGCAGGAGTAATGTCTTACTTTGAGTTTATTGACTGCTTAGCTATGGTAATCTACACAAGGTTTTTTGAAAAAATTAGTTTAAAAAATCCTACAACTGTATGAGCTGGCTATAGGTGAAAGATGATGGTACCTGCTATTGGTGATGGTACCTATTAAAGGAAAGCATTTTGTAAAAGAAAAGCAATAATAGCATATATTGTGTTGACTTTTAGAAAAGAAATATTAAAATATTATTTGCTGAATTTTTCAAACGTTTGTTTGCAACTTTGTAAAAACTTTAGGAATTGTAGTGAATTTAAATAATTGTGAATTTAAATAAAAGATATTTAAATAATTAAAAAATGATTGGGAAAACAAAATTATAATACACTATGCAGACCATTATAAAAAAGTAATATACTTTTAAAAATACTTTTAAATTTTACTTTTAGATTAAACTATAATTTAGTAGTTAAACTTATTTAGAGTTACGTTGTAATAGTTTAAATTTTGCTTATCTATGTTGTAGCGTAAGTAAAAACTGATGTGAATCATTGTTTAGGACAAGAATTTTGCTTATCTATGCTGTAGCGTAAGTAAAAACTGATGTGAATCATTATTTGATTAAATTGACAAATTAATCTCTAATAACTCTTTTTATAAAATTTATTATCATATGCGTTGAAAATAAAACATGGCTCAAAAAAAATTTTATGCAGCGAAAAAAGAAAAGCCATACACTGAAGAACAAGACTAACTTATAGTTAAAAAAGAATATTAAAAATATTTGCAAATAGCCTAATCGCTTCCTGCAGCCTTTACGTTAAAACAAAAAAATGTAGATGCGCCAAAGTTCGAACTTAAATATATATATATATATATATATATATATATATATATATTTAACATCTTTGCTTCCAACAAGGCTGCAAGCAACCACTAATTAGTGTTGGAAGCTACTGGAAGAGAAAAGATGAAGGTTGTAGAGCAAGATAACGATTGACAGACGACTTAAAAGATTGCAAATAACATGAATCAGGAAAGCAAAATGAAGGAAGCGAGTTCCAAAGAACTGATGTTCGAGGAAAAAAACTAGACGAATAAGAGTTTTTGGAGCACTTAGAAACAGTAACAGAAAAAGGATGAGACTTAATTGAATGACGAGTAACACGAGAATGAATTTTTGTAGATGGCACAAGAGACGCTAGCTCTTTAGAGCAGTGCCCATTATAGTATTTGTAGAAAAGAGAAAGAGAAGCAGCATTACGACAATGTGACAGAGGTTGAAGGTTGGCTGCAAGAGTAGGTCCAACTATGTTTACAATGCGTTTTTGCGCCTTGTCTAAAAGAGAAAGGGCATCATTAGAAGGTCCGCCCCAGATATGGCAACAGTATTCCATACATTGCCGGACTTGAGATTTAAAGAGATAGAGAATAGAATCCAGAGTAAGAAAGTGACGAGCTCGATAAAGAGAAGCGACTTTAGCAGATGCTAATTTTGCAACGGATTTGATATAAGTTTTCCAAGAAAGATCAGAAGTAAAAGTTAATCCTAGAAGATGAAGGGTAGGAGACTCATTGAGTACATTACCGTTCATAAATATAGGAAGGTCTAAATTATTGCGATAACGATTGGCTGAAAAAAATTGAGTTTATCTGAATTAAAGTTCACCAGCAACTGTGAGCCCCATGCTGTAGCAGAAATGAGATCCTTTTCAAGCTCAGATACCCCCTGCAAGCAATCAGAGGGAGTTTGCTTCTTATCGTGACAAGAATAAATGGTAGTATCATCAGCGAACAATGCCACCTTAGATGTGAGAAAATCTGGAAGATTGTTAATGTAAATTAAAAAGAGTATAGGGCAAGGGATTGAACCTTGAGGAAACCCTGAGGTACAGAATAAGAAGAAGAGTGCTTTCCATCAAGGACAACTTTTATACTACGATTGGAAAGGAAGGATTCGATAATCTTAAAGATGTTTCCAGATACACCGTAAGAAGAAAGGTTATGGAGAAGACCAGCATGCCAAACTTTATCAAACGCCTTAAAAATGTCAAGTGCGATGGCCTTAAAATCTCCACCTTTATCTAATGCGCGATAAAACCTATCGGTTATTACTGTTAGCAAATCAGCCGTGAACGAAAAGATCGAAATCCATATTGATAATCAGAAAGTATGTTATGAGATTCGAGATGAGAGATTAAGTATTTGTTAATTAAAGATTCAAAAACCTTGCTTATGATAGGAAAAAGACTAATGGGTAGTAGTTAGATGAATCAGATCGCTCTCCAGAATTTTTAAAAACAGGGATAACAGATGCTGCTTTCCAGCAGGCTGGAAATTTTTCAAGCCTATAATACTATTGCCATATTTGGATTTTTGGCGGATTTTCTAATGATGCCGTTTTTTTTTAAACAATGTGTAATTACGCATTGTAAACATAGTTGGAACTGCTCTTGCAGCCAACCTTTAACCCTTATCACTCTTTCCTTATTCATATAATTTGCAATCTTTCAAGTTGTCTGTCAATCTTTATCTTACTCTACAATCTTCATCTATTTTCTTCCAGTAACTTCCTACTCTAATTTGTAGTTGCTTGCAGTCCTGTTGGAAACGAAGATGTTAAAAAAAAAAAACTTCATAGTTAAATGCTGTTCCACGTAGCTCTGTGATAAGACTTATCCCAGCGGACACAGAACGTCCAATGGATGTCTTAATGACGTACTACGAACTTTTGACGTCTGTAATACGTCGTATAGATGTCCCGCGGACGTCTGTGTCCGCTAGGATTATCTTTGAATAAATTTAACCTTTAATTAAATATGCATTCGCTATATTTTTAAGTTTTTAAGTCTTAATGTTTTTTTGCATTAGGGATCGTCCATAAACTACTAAATTTAACTAATAGACAAAAGAAAAAAGATTAAACGTTTTCCCTCGCAGAGCCTTTAATTAAAACAAGAATATAAACAACTCATTAAATTCAGCAAAAACCGCCGCAAAAAAGATCAAAACAATCTCCTACTTACATTTTTAAAATAAGTTTTGCGTTGCATAATTTATGGACGATTCCTTATATACAGCTTATAATCGACTTAGAAAAAAAAATATTATTTTTAGGTGAATTATAAAGTTTTACACATAACTCAAGTTGCAAATATTATAATTTTCTTTACAGGTATTAACAGGTTACGATATGCCAGAATTTATTCAATACAAAATTAAAAGAAAATAATTGTTTTGGTGACATTTTTAGAATTTCGATTAAATAAAAATATTTCGTCGCAAGTTAATGAATTTTAAAAAAAGAAAAATTTTTTTGGTTCTATTTTAACAACTTCGTAAGTAAAAAATTATTTCAGCTTTAGGATTTCGATGCCTTAAATATCTATTGATGGAATATTGTTGATTTCGATAAGAAAAATTAATTTCCGTGAAAACTAATTAGTTAGAAATTCTTTCGAACTTACCGAAACAAAAATACCAATTCGAAGACGTATTATATAATCGAAAATTCAACTTTTGCAAAAGTGAATAACCCTAATTTTTACGGAAAAACGTGATAAGTTGTTTGAATTGAAAAAATGTAAGCGCGAAATCTTATGCTGTAAAATAAAAGTGGATGTGGTCAGGGTCGGATTAAGGGCCAAGCGGGCCCGAGGCTTCAGATTTAATGTAGGTCTACGGCCTATTATTTAAAAAAATTACAAAATTTGTAGTAGCAATGCGACAAAAAAGATAGGAAATGTTTTTTTATAATTATTATAATTCAATGCTGTTATCATTGTTTTCAAAATATTTACGGTAAAGTTAGTATAGTTTTTAATGTAATAAAATATTTTTTAAAAATTAATAAATCTATGCAATAAAGTTCAATTAATTTTTCAATTTATGCAGTTTTTGTGAGTTTAAGTTTAGGTTTGTTTATATACTAAAATCTTAAACCATTAACTTTTCGACGTTAACTTTTCAAGATTTTTTATCAACAAACATTTACAGAATCTTAATCAAGCTGTTGAAATCAGAATCTTAATCAAGCTGTTGAAATAGTCTATTTTCTATGAATAAAAGCGGCAGGGCTATTAAATGTTCTTGGCCCATGGTTAATCTTAAATTGTTTTTAATGAACTTAAGTTTAGAGAATGAACGTTCTCCACTGCGATTGCTTACCATTAAACAAAGTTACATGCAGGGCCGGTTCAAGAATTTTTTTTGGTGTATGCAAGATCAAGGTTTGACGCCCCCTATGCTAAAAAATGTGTTTCTTGTAAACTTATCATATAATATGTTTTGATAAATTGCAAATATTTATTAAAACCCATAAAATACAATAAAAACATAATATCCCATTAAAAGTATATTGCACATAAAAACTGAATGCAAAATTGTAAGCGTCATGAAATACAGTTTTGATCAAAGAAAGTAACAAATACTTATCGTACAGTTTTGATCAAAGAAAGTAACAAATACTTATCGTACAGTTTTGATCAAAGAAAGTAACAAACACTTATTGTTTTTATTGACAAAAAATAAAACTAATCATTAAGTAAAAAACTTTGTCTTAAGTTTTTCAAAGTTTTTCAAAGTTGAAGCGGTTTCAATTGTATTTAGAACATGGCGTTCAATTGCTAATGTGGCTATCCACATAGACGGTTCTGAAAATTTGTCAATCGAACGTAATTTCTGATTTAGAAAAACTCTCACTCATATGTCACTCTTTCCATCAGCTGTAAAAAGGAATGCAGATTTTTGCACTTTTTTTTTTTAATGCATCTGTTCAACGTTTTTCTATTTATTTTTATGGTAAAGCGAAATTCAAAATGCTTGCTTTGATTTTCCATCTGTTCAAATTTTTCTGACAAAGAATTAATAGCAGCGTCTAAGACTACAACTTTGAAAGACTATTTTTCCGTCTTCACAGGTTCATCTTTCATTTGCTGACTTCACAGGTTCATCAATTACCTTTAAAGGAAAATCACCTTTTCATCTTGTTCGGCCTTACAACTTGTTCTGAGAACTTTGGATTAATAATCAGTTTTCTTCCAGTTCCATTGCATCTGTAATAACACTATACAGCCCGTTTTTCTATTTCATGTTCTTCAAAAAAACCTCGGCACTTTCAATTAGTTTAAAAGTTTCAAAGCATTAACTTCGATTAACAGTTTTCATCTTAAGTGTTTTGCATACTAAATTAAATTTGAACAAGACATCATACCAAGTGACCAAACAGCGGAGGAATTTGAAATCTCTAGTT